TTGTAATTTGGGCCGAGCAACATAAATTTGGCCAACCTGAATTGTCGGCAAGTTTCGGAAAAGTAGACAATCAACAAGTATGTGTCCCTGACCCCCCATGATTGTAGACCCCACATGATTTTTTTTCTCCATGATTAAAGTTGTACAAATATTTATATACGTTGGATTGGACCGATAACTTGGCTCGAAACCATTTGTGTGGCTTAGACAAATAAACTTTATAAGTCAACATGAAAATATTTAGTGAGTTCAACTTCTGTGCTTCAAAAACAGACTTCCTGAAACACTAAGATTTCAATAAATTATTAGCCCGAAATGTCGACAGTAGACCTTCAAAACGTAGCTCATCTTCTTCAACAAGAACAAGACTTCCAATTTTTGACTTTCGATTCCACCATAGCACTTGAGTTAGGCCTTCTAATTCTCAAAAACGCTCAGCAAAAAGGAATTCCTGTAGTCATTTCCATTACATTAAACACGCATCTTTTATTTCATTATTCCATGCCGGGAACTAATCCCGAGGACGTTGAGTGGGTACGAAGAAAAAACAATGTTGTAAATCAATTTTATCATTCTTCACTTTATGTTAGTGAATATTTAAAACAAAATAAGAAGCTTGGTGAAACATATTTTGTTGGTGAGAAAGAATTTGTTGCATATGGTGGTGCTTTTCCATTGATTGTTAAAGGTGTTGGTGTTGTTGGAACTATCACAGTCAGTGGATTATCGCATATTGAAGATCACGAACTTGTAGTGTTGTCTCTAAAAGACTTTTTTGGGTTGGAAAAAGAAGGCAAAAATAAAGTAGAATAATTTATCAATTCGATGACAATGTATTTATAATATTAATGAGGCTCAATTATATAGATTTTCTTATTATTCTTTCAAAATAATCAATCGTTTTATATATTCTTACAATCATTTTGCCATTCAAGCATATCGAAAGTTCGAATAACAATAATAGTTTGGATATATTAATTTATTATTAATAATATTTGTGCGATATTGACAAAATAACAATAGAATCGTGATAGTTTAGTAAATAACAATATCAATTCAATTTTTTGATTTCTGCATTTATTATTTTCGAGAATTCATTGCTAGTTCCGAAGATTGTAGAAAGCGATACTGATGAATTTGGTCGCGTCCATTCGTTGGCTAATCTTTCTTCACGAAAAAATGTTTCAGCAATTTTGACATCCACTTCTTTATTTGTATTTGCTCCCATAATATTTTGAAATAAAGAGTATTCACCCGAGGCAAGTTGTACTTGGAAAAAACCAAAGGTAAAATCTGGATTATTTTCTTTGCAATCCAGGTAGCGCGCCCGGAATGTGTTTTTAATGGATTCAGATTTGATTTTCCCATCAATTGAGTTAGTGATTAATTGATCGACCAAGTCATTTCTTACAACCCAATTCTCTCCTAGCGCAGTATCCATGTGACATAAGGATGAGTCGTGTTCGAGGAGCCCATGCTTACGAAGATCTGCTAACGATCTTTAATAAGGTTATTATAAATATCGCGTGTATAATAGGGATGGGCTCATTATATAACATGTTATTTTTAGATAGTTTGATAGTTTATTATATATGAACGTTAATAATTCTATACTTCCTTTGTTTTAACCGTTTTATTAACATGTTATATAACAATTTCGATATATTGTATATATCATACATTTTTCCCGCAAACCATTTACCATACAATGTAAAGCAACCAGCCACCTGATACATTGCAAATGAGGTGTTTTCATTAAAAACTTTCTGAAGAGCTTCGAATAGTTGTCTCGGCGTTATGTCTTTACCGTTACGAGGTCTATTTTATTTCAAACATCAATGTTTATATAACAAATAATATTATTTTGAAAGTAACTTACAAATAACCATGGTTAGCCAAAGCATTTAGAGCAGGGCAAGGAGATCTTTCATCCCCTTCTTGGGGAGCCTGCCATTCATAAGACATAATAGCGGATAGAAGCAGTAAAGGAAATCTGAAAAAAATTTTTAGTTTTTTGATAACAAATTTTTAATTTTATGTTCTTATTAATAAAATTTGAGAATTATAAATTCGGCCTAATTACAAACATAGTGCAGGTGCTATAGTGATGATCACTAATTAATTTTTTTTATACAGTAGTAAAATTTGCGTTCTATATCAGATATTAAATAAATAGAATTTATTACGCCTTTAATTCCTCCAGTAATATTTAACATTTTTTAATTCTATAAAAGCAAAATGTTTAATGAAAGGCATCTTTATATCGTAATAACATCAGATTTTTATTTTACTAATTACAAACATAACTGATAATGCAGACTATATAGTAAATCATTAGCCAAGCTTTTTTTAAAATAAACAGATGAAAATAAATTATTCTTTAGACTGTATTCCAGGTAAATTTGTTTAGAAAATTAAAGAGTTAATACTATTTTTTAAATAATTTAATAAAATATTAATAATATAAAGTTTATATTATATATAGAATATATTATTGACAATATATTTTATAAACTTTATTAAAAAATTTTTTTATTTTTATTAAGTAGTTTTTAAATAATAAATTTTTAAAGTTTATGTTAAAAAATTTTTTTATAATTAATTTTTTTAAAAGAATATTGATAAGGTTTGGCTATCTAGTATAGTGAATAGATTGTCAGACTGTCATGTAAGAGGTTTAGGGTTCAAATCTTACTGTCTATAGAATTGAATAATTATTTAGATATTTGTATTCAACTTATAGTAAACTTTGTTCATTTTTAGGAGTTGTAATTCTGTAAATTACGTTGCATCAATATTGTTCAGATATTAGAAGTGTGACAGAATATTGGAGTTACGTTATATAAATAAATCGAGATAGGATCTATAGGCAGAGAACTTGCATAATAGAAATTCTAAATTAGATGATGTAGTACATATTTTAATAGTTACACTAGTTAACACTTAATTTAGCAAAGATTTCTGAGTACGAAGATGCAGATCGAGTAGGTGCAAGTAAGTCTACAATATAATGCAATCTAGTGCTTTGTATTTAATAGTAATACTAACTTAGCTTGGTAGCTAACTAGATTAGGAGGATCTACTTTGTAAAACATTTAGAAGAATACAAAAATTCAAAACTAGTAGAGGGCTACAGCTAGAACTGGGTTTGTATGAATATTAAATAAGGATATATGCAAGCTAAATTAGGATATAGTGTAGTATAGTTAGGTATTATAACATATATTTATTAGGAGGCGTTGAAGTAGGACTTATCTAGATAAGACCTAAGCTTATAACAATAAAGTTTGCAACTAATATCAGCTTAGGTGCCTCCTAAAGTAGAGTAGTACAGAATTATAGTTAACTATAAAGAGTAATATTTGTGGTAAGTGAGATAGGATCAGAGAGTTTAAATAGAAAATCTTCTAAGAGATTTCAGATATAGTAGCTAGTGTAGAACCTTCAAGTGGACTATCTAAAATAGACAACCTAAAATTGTATATATGGCTAGTTGTACTGTATCACTTCTGGAATTTATAAAATTAATAAAGTTTAGCCAATAGTATTTATATAAAGTAAAAAGAATATTGATAACTATAATCAGTAATGATTATCACTAGTATGTAATTAGCCAATAAATTTGCAGAATCAGATATAATATACAAATTGATTTTTTTTAAAAAAATGCTAATATCTCAAGAATTTGCCTATAAAACTACTTTTGACATTCTAACAAAAAAAATTCTTTGCTAAAATTTGCATATATATATAACACCTTGTTAAAATCTCAGGTCTCACTCTAACTCTAAAGTTAATGAAATAAATCTTTTTATTATTTTATTATTATTAGTTAATTATATACTAATGATGATCACTACTGATTATTTAAAGTAAATTCTTTTTAAAAATTTTTAAAATTTTATATGTTTTTGAAGTTAAAAAAAAAAATTTTTAACTCTAAGACAAGTTCAAATTTTTATAATTAAATCATAAAAATTATAATAATAAAAGTTATTTTTTTTTAATAAATTCTATGTAATTCTAATTTTTAAAAAAAACTAATATTATAAAATTCTTTGAGGTAAATTTAAATTTTTTGAGGTAAACAAAATAATCAATTTAATTAGTTAATTTCTGTGATATATAATATAAAATTTTATTTAAATTTTAGAACTAAATATTTAAATATTCATATCATAATAAATATTTAACTAATTTTAATAATTTTATTATAATTAAAATTACAAAGACCTGTTCTATAACTTTACTTAAAAGCTAAAAAATAGTTTATTTAATAAAATTTTAAGTAAAGAATATTTCTATTTATTATTAGCAGTAATTATTACTAGTATATAATTAGCTAATAAATTTGCAGAATCAGATATAATATGAAATCAATTTGTATAATGAAATTAAAGACATTTTTTAAAAAAATACTAATATCTCAAAAATTTATCTATAAAACTACTTTCAATATTCTAATAAAAAAATTCTTAGCTAAATTTTGTATATATTTAATATTCTACTAAAATCTTATGCTTCATTCTAAATCTAAAGTAAACAAAATAGAATTTTTTTTTTTGTTTTATAATTATAAAAAAATTACATATTAGTAATGATCACTACTAGTGACTTTAAGAAATTATCTTAAGTAAAATAAGATTTTTTTTTTTTTTTTTTTTTTTTGTTAAGACAGCTTATATTGCTAAAGGAATTTTATTAGAGTTGTTAATAGGATTATACATTGATAATCCCTACTGTTTGTAATTATATAAAGAATATATAACAAGCTACACATATAACTTTAGTCATTATCTATTTTAAGTAGTCCACTATATAGACATTAGGCTATCCAATTAGTTCTACACTATACTGCTATACCTGTAACCTATCTGTGAGTTACTTATTTAAACACTCTGTTCATTAACCTATACAGATCCAATCTAATGTTATCACAACACCTAACTGCTTAAGCCAGCTAGCTCATTACAGATCTATTTATTCAGAATAGCTTAGGTCTTCTCAAGATATATTATATCAGATGTATTACTAGTATTGCAGAGCTAGTTAACCTCAAAGCAAACCTACTAGAGCAGTCTATACATATTTTACAGATTTATTTAGCTTAGACCCTTGTAAATATTTGTACAACTCCAGATTCTACTATGGCCTTCCACTAGTCAATTGACCTAATCCTTTTCTAATATCCAGCTAGTCCTAGTTACCCTTCGCCTAGAGACCTTGAAACCTTCTATTTTTATTAAACTAAGTTTTTTTCTAAATTAGACTTTAGCTAATGTAGTTTTGTTAGAAGGCTATACTATTTCACTGACTTAGGATTTCTACTATACAAGTCTTCTGCTTGTATATTCTATCAAGATTTATTCATGTAATATTATACTATATTTTCAAGTTCTAATCAATTTGGTATAACTCAATTTACAGGAGTACGTCTCCAGAAATGAACAGGGTTTATTGTAACATATTACAAGATCTGAGAAATTATTCAAATTCATCAACAGTAGGATTTGAACCTCAGACCTATTGTATAGCAGTTCAACAATCTAACTACTATACTAGATTACCAGACCTTCTAAGATATATTTTTTTTTGTTATTAAAAGTAGCTTATATTGCTAAAGAAATTTATTAGTATTGCAAACAGGATTATATATTGATATTTTCTACTATTTGTAATTACATAAAAAGTATATAATAAGCTATATATATAACTTTAATTATTATCTATTTTAAGTAGTCAGATCTAGTAATTTTAGTATGGTAGTTAGGTTGTTAAACTGCCATACAAGAGGTCTAGAGTTTAAATCCTACTGTTAACAGAATTGAATAATTACTTAAATCTTAGTATTCAACTTATGATAAACTCTATTTATTTCTAAAAGTTGTAACTCTATAAATTATGTTGTACTAATATTATTTAAATATAAGAAGTATAACAGAGTATCTGAAAAATATAATATTATATGAATAAATCTTGATAGGATCTATGAACAGGAGACCTGCATAGCAAAAATCCTGAGTTAGATGAAGTAGTACAGATTTTTAATAGTTATACTAGTTAACATTTAATTCAGAAAAGGAAATCTGTATACAAAAAGATTAGTGAGCAGGTATGAGTAAGTCTTGCATACAAAAAAACTAACAAGTAGATGCAAATAAGTCTTGTGTATGAAAAGATCAGTAAGCAGATATGAGTAAGTCTGTTATATAAGGTTATATAGTAACACTAACTAGCTTGGCAGCTAACTAGATTTAAAAAGATCTATTTCATATGATATCTGGAGATACAGATAATACCAACCTTCAGATTTGAGAGAATCTGTTTCGTATGATATCTGAATATATATACAACATCAACTTTCTGATTTAGGAGGATCTATCTTATATAATATCATAAATATTTATTCATAAATACTTAACTCTAAATACTTATTTACAATTAATTAATTACCTAATACTCTTCAAATTATTTTATTCAAATTAAT